AAGGGTATATTTGTTTAAAAAAGTAATGTTTGTAAAGTTCCACTAAAATAGAAACTTAAATAATTAATGCATTTAATGGGATTTGATTCCTATACTAATAGGACTAACAATTGTAAAGCCGCAAGGCGACTGTGATTAACAAAGCTTATAAAAAAATGATCAAAAATAGCTTTTTGGGACGATAAACTTTTCGTCCTTAATTACCTACTAAGTAATTTTACAAGAGTACCCTTTCAAAACGATGTAGTTTTGGTTAATTAAGTATATACAGAGTTAATCCACTAGGGATCACACTTGCAGATGCTTCTCAATTTCTTATTCGATATGCTCTTTGCTATTCTTGCCCCATCTCTTCTCCTCCGTCCTCTCTCTCAAACGATGATGATCCCTTCACCTTTACATGACATCTCGTGGTGAAAAACTGGTTTGGTCTTCCCTAATATCGATCTCTTTCTTTTCAATTGAAGTCATAGCCCTAGATTTTATCTTTCTCAAGGTGGGTATCAACATAGAGGTCTTGAAGAGCCCCCAACAGCAGCAGCCGGAAACGCCTTGTGGGGCATCGCTACCGCTACCACTGCTCTTTATCTCATTCAGGTCCTCTAATTTCTGTCTATATATATCTTACACATACCTATGTACGTCATCTTATTCTTACACTATCGATCTGAACATCTCTACATATTTTATCGTTTCCATTTAACAGTTTATTGTAATTTTTTCTTTGCTTATATCTTTTCTTTTAGATTTTGATATTGGGAATATGGTTTTATTGTTAGTGTTAATTATATAGGTGGCATTACTTTATAAACATATATATTTATTTATATCTTAGATCTCAGAAATATAGGTTCAGATTTTTTTATTTTTTATTGATAAGTAAAATTATAGCTGCAGAATTTGATTTCAATTGCTTATTCAAACATTTATATTAGTGAATATTGTTTGTCTTTTTTATGCTATGTAAAAATGAAAGATTGACATTTTTTTTTTTTTTTTGGTTAGTACATATTCTATGTTGGTGGAGGTATGGATGTAATGTTAATTGATTGAGCTTGGAAATTTCATGAAAGTTGGAACCTTGGTAGTTGAATCATTGCTGATCATGTATCCCATTGTCTTCTAGTTTGAGAGTGTCCAGTATCAGATGATTCTTTAGAAAATTTATTGGGTTAAGAAGTTGGAAGTCCCAAGTGTTTCGGTCCATCTCATTGATCACAGTCCGTTTCGGGAATTACTCTTTTATTGATTTATGGCATCTAATATTCTATTTATTGTAGCTATGTTACTTGGTTAGGAAGGCATTTTTCTATTTTTCTTCTTGTGTAGCTCCTAATTTCCATATCGATGTAAGCATGCATGTATGTATAGCTTGTGTGCATTCCTTTATTTCGTAATTAAATTACAATTTTATATGTTTTTTGAAATGATAAAACTGGCGGTAGATTCAATAATTTGTGTCAAAATGATGTACATAAATATTAGTATGTCAGGGTATTAGTGTAAAATTGTAGATCGTTTTGCCGTTACCAATACTATTGAAAAGTTAAATTAACTTGGGTTTAACCCAATGGTTAAACGCTTTTTTATGAAGTCAATAGATATAAATTTTCTAGTCTCATAGGATTTGACATACATTGCGGAGGGATTGGACATAAAAAAATTACATCTATAAAAACAATGAAAATTTCAAAATAACTTGCATCATTAAATCAACCCACCAAGTTATTTGGAGAAATTAATAACCATAAAATGGCCTAAAGTTAAAACTTGATTCTGCTCGAGGAACACATCAAAGTAATTAACCTAAAAAAAATCAAATAATTGATGTATTATTTATTAAATAAGTATGAATGCATCAAATCCAATTTGTGTGGAGATTGTAGAATATTGTAGAGAGAAATGATGGATTGTAGAGTTTGGGCAATTCGATAGATTGGGGAAGATTCTGCAAAAGTAAAAGAGCCTTGAACAGTTGCCACGGGGAAAGAGTTCCAGAGGCTACACATGTGCTAACATTCTTCTCTTTTTTTTATTGGGTTTAAACTGATCAAAATTTTTTTTTTTAAGGTTTAAATAAGAAAATTCTCCTGTACTATTAAATTTTGTCATTTTACCTCCTGAATAATCAGACACCTGACCTCACCTCTCCACTAATCATAATTGACAAAAATTTTAGTTACATAGTGAAATGACAAAAATATCCTTTCTTTTTGAAGTTACGTTTAAATCACAGAACTCCTTAAATTGTCAAATATCCCACGACTGGTGCTTTGCTGATGTGAATTAATTGCAAATAATGGGGAAGGAGTTTGTTAGATGACTTCCAGAAGGAGGGTGTAATATTACAAAATATTATAGTAGGTGGGGTTTTATGAAGTTAATCTTTTTTTATATAATTATATTTTTGCTAACTTTTTGTTTACGTAGTCAGACAACTCTCGTATTTCATAAAAAAAAAATCTTTGTTTTATGATAGCACAAAACGGTATCATTTTTTTGAGGAAGCTGCATATAATGAAAACACTCTGGTATTGAATAAATGCCTCTTTACCCATAGAAGAGCGAACATGGTGGAACGACTTGTGGACCGCAACATTTTGATTTTGGGGAGATATTGATTCTTTCCGTATCAATTGAATCCGTTCACCATGACAGATTTTGCTTCAATGGAGTGTGCATGTTGTCTTGAAAAAAAACTTTGTGGGTTGATTTGATGATGCAAGTTGTCTTGAAATTTCTATTGTTTTTATAGATGTAATTTTCCTGGCTTTGGTTTTAAATTTTTCAATGTTTATGTCCAATCCCTTGTTTGTCAAATTCTGTGAGATTAGAAAAATTATATCTATAAAATATGAATTTTGGTTGTTGGATGCATTAGGACATTTGTTATGATTGTGCCTTAACAATATTTAAATACTCCACTTTCATTTTTCATGTGTGTGTGTATATGTGTGACGGTATGTGTATATATGTGTGACAGTGTATGTTGGTGTTGGGGGCGGAGGAAAAGAAAACATAGAGGAGAGAATGAAAGAAATCGTTATAGGTATGGGGTTGAAAAGGTCATTTCAGCATTTAAATTAATCAGTATAAAAGTCAAAGGGTAAAAATGTCAATTTATTACCATCTGAATATTCTTTTGGCAAATCTTAGGGGGTATTACATTACTTTACTCTTATTTTATTTTTAAATTTTTTTTTTTGTGGAATAAACATGAAATCTGATGAATGAATGGTCACGTGCGAGTAAGAATATTTTCATTTTTCCAATACCATTCCCGGTAGTTTAACATAATATCGGATCTGTACATTTGTCACATGCTGTTCTTTCTTTTTTGAATTTGAACACAAGGAGGGGGAATAGTGCGCATCATATGTGGTATTCATTTTTTTTTTTTTTTTGGGACTTTCTTTGCCCTAAGAAAAGCTAAGATGGAAAGAGAAATGATAAAATAAAGTTAAAGGTGCTAATATATAATGTCATGAAAGGTTAGTACAAAGTAAATCAAAAGAAAGATGACAATTGTCCATAATTAATGCTAATCTGCCCTAGAAAGATGACAACGGTCAATAATTAATGTTAATCTGCCCTAGATTGAGGCCATAGCATTGGGTATAAAACAAAAAAAACTTAGACTATGCTCAAAACTAAATAAAGACTCAAGACTATAGTAAATTGGTGGTACTTCTTGAGTAAAATATTGAGGATTCAAGTCTTATTAAGGGGAAAATATGAGTAGTGTGTTGGACATTTCACGTCATTATATTCTTAACCAATTAAAATATATTATTTTATTAAAATGAAAAAAATTATTAAATGGTCGTGGACCATTTGACACTTCAGGATTTAATCCAATAAAAGTTGACGTTGAGATTTCTTTATAATATATTAATATACTCTAGTGTGATCATTTTGTCTATCCGAGAATTTAGATTTAACTCGTTTCAAGTACTGTCAATAGACCTGGACCATTTAATAATTTCTCTTAAATTAACTGCAATATTGAATTTCATTCGACAAGCATACCATTGACCTGGAATGCCCACACACCCAATATCTACTCCAATAAAAGGTATAGTGGCAGCGGAGTGTTTATAAATAATAATAATAATAATAACATTAAAACGATATAATTAAGTGATTTCTCATTAAATTAAAAAGATATAAATTAAAAAGATATAATTGATAAATTTATTCACCAGTCAAACAACCAACGACAATGCCCGACCAACGATTTTGTTTAAGCAAAATAACAATGCTGGAAAAGGTACCATCCTTTTTTGGTGCATTGGATGACTGGAGAATTTTTCTCCTTGGTCGGCTGTTTGGTTCTGGTAACAAAGGATAGGAGTACTCAATTGTAAATATGGATTTGACTAGACACGTTGACCAACCGTTCAAGCACGGGCTCTGAATATATTTGGACTTTAAGAGACTAATTAACTCAATTAGTTATAATTGTAAATAAAAAAGACAGTCTTAGCAACAGATGTGAGGTGGTGTGTTCTGACTCTATCTATCATTTTCTAAATATGTTTGTTCTTTACCAATATTGACAAAATTTTAAATTGTGTGAAATTCTAATCAAACAAATATTCTAACAATAATCATATTTACTTACTTGAAAGGTTCATCTAGTAATCTGAATTGATTAAGTATATGGTTATTCCAACTCCTATTTGTTGCATAACACTGAATTCAATAATTCATCCAATAATCCAAGTGTTAAAAGAAATTTTATGACCTGTGGAGGCAGAGGAACTTATGTCAATATATAAATCTTGCATTGAGTTGTATTGCCCATCAAATGACCAACAAACCTTTAAAGGCCAAAGAAACATTAGAATTGATACAAGTGACGTTATAACTATTCCAGCAAGAGGAGACTATGAGTATTTAGCATATTTACTTGTGAAGACGACTATATTTACCTAATGCATCATGAATTTGAAACATTTGAGAAATTCAATGAGTTTCAGGTTGAAGTGGACAATAAATTAGGTAAACTTATTAAAACTATTCAATCTTTTTGAGATGATGGCACAATTCATATCTCATGCCAAAAACAAAGTTTCTAAATAAAACAAACCGTGTTCAACTAATATAAAACTTTCAATATCGGTTATCAACAAAACCGGGTACAAGACATATGAATAAATTTGAAAAACTTAGCCATTAGGCAGCTAGCATCCTTCTTTTTCCATCTTCATTGTCTTCTTATTTGGAACATCTCGTCTTATACCAACCTAAACAAGTCCTTCACTCTTCTCCCAATGCTTTCTGATTAGTAAAACCAAAGCAAGAAAGAAACAATCTTTAATTTTTCAATATTACAAGGACATCCAATAATCTTTAATTTTAAAAAGAAAAAATCTAGAGGAACCGAAATCCAATCTTTTTTCTTTTATCCTAGTATTTATTATGAGTTCAGTCAATTTGGGTGTAATTCAAAATTGTAAACCCATTGTTTGAGCCCCACAAACACAATCACATGAAATCTAATATTGAAAAAATCATCAACGCTAAATTTCAGATTAGTAAGAGAAAATTAAAATGATAAAATATTCAAGGAAAGGAAGGAAAAAAACATACCAATACACACGCATTCATACATTTATAAGTATGTAGATTGGTTTGAATGTCTAGATGGCTAATAAAACAATAGTAGATGTAGATTGTTTTTAAAATCGGTGAGAGGGGAATAAATTTTGATTTAAAAAAAATATATAAAGAAGAAGGTAGGGGAACCATTTTATAAATTTATAATTAAGGGATGAGACCAAATCTCAAACACGTGTTTGGAATAGATAATAACATTTGAAACTTTCCATCTCTATTTGTGAGCGTGTGGGAGAGAGTACCTCAAAATCCTGAATGTTGTTTAAGATTGATCATTCATCAGTATCTGAATCTTCTTCGACATCATCTTCATATTTATATTTTTCGAATGCCCACTTGGGGGAGAGAGAGTGTGGACCTCTGAATCCGGTATGCTGTGTAGCTTCCATTCTGGATGAATACCCCACTTTTTCACCTTCAATAATGGTGTTTCAATTGAAGCCTGAATGTAACACCCATCATAATTGCATTTTCGATCATCTTTAATAAGTTGGTTACATGATTCATAAAAGAGCATCATGTGATCTGACCTGATTCTATTTACCCAATCACCTATCCAAACTCTTCCACTTTTACCATTAATTTGGAGATAAATATAATTATTAATGTCAGATGGTTGTTGATTGCTTCCGAAAACCACGCAAACATAAACTCCTTCGAGGTAATGGAAAGAATTTGGATCCATGCTCAAACACACCACCGGAGTAGTCATGCCTTCCTCACTACCACTCTCATATGTATGGCTGAACCAACTTGGAATCTCACTTCCTGGAACAACGATTTCACGAATTCCCTGTACCATAATATAAAAAGCATAACAATTAATGATTCACTTGTGTGAGAAAGATATTCACTTGTGTGAGAAAGATGAGTATGTATACATTTGGGGGTTAATTTGAAAAGTCTACGCACACAGAGAGAGGGGGAGAGTGATACGATGCATACACAAATATATATATATATATATATAGTTATATGGGTACCTGAAGTTCACTTTCTGAATTGTATATATTTGGCTTCTTGTTACCATCATTCACAATCAATTTGTGGCACTCACCAAAATTCAAAATTTGGCCATGTGATCTGAATTCACATTTTGGAATCGAACACCGTTCTAATGATGAGCAACCTTCTGCAGAAACAAACAGCATATCTAATGGAAACGAGTCCAATGTTTGGAGGCTTAAGCAACCATCCAAATTAAGATGAGCAAGGTTTGTAAGTTGTGTGAAGCTTGCTGCTAAGCTAGCAAATTTGTTCCTCCTTAGATCTAACTCCCGTAACGAGTGAGGAAGATTGAGAATGGATTCTTCATCTAAATTGCAGTTATCACACCCCAAGACTTGAAGGTGAGTCAACTGTGCAAAGGATGATGGTAACTTTTTTATATCAAATCCACTCAATTGAAGACTCCCCAAACACTTCATTTCACCAATAATGCTTGGCAAACTCCCAAGCCCTTTGAGATATTCAACTGATTGAGGTATATTGTCGGCCAATCTTTCAAGCATTTCGCACTTTCCCATTTCTAATGAGCGAAGCCCTTTGAGATGTTTAGCTACTGATGGAGATAATTCTATTATTGCAGTACCACGTAATTCAAGACGCTCTAAACATTCCATGTCTCCTTGAATTTCTGGAAACTTCTCAACTTTTGAGCACCAACTAAGATCAATGCTTTCGACAGATTTCAAATGAATTCTTGTTGCGAGACTCTTCAGATTATTACACCAGCGAAAATTCAACTCAACAAGTCTCTCGTGAAATTCAATGGACGGATGAACCTCAGTCAGACTTATACAATCCTTAAAAGTCAATTTCTCCAAACATGGCAGCACAGACAAATTAGGTGTCTTCTTCAAATTTTGACAGTAGCTAAGATCAATGACTTTTAAAGACTGCTAAAATAAACAATTAAATGATGAAAGAAATCAGTTTCAATCAACTCATAATAATTATTTAAAAACTGCTACAATCAACAAATAAATGATAAAAATACAACAAAAGATGAAACGTGTGTAAAGAAACAGCGTGACCATTAGCTTTTAATCTCATTAAAAATCAGAGAGTGAACACACAAGAGAACTAGATAGTAAAAGGTGGAGGATTTGAGTCCAGGGTATGGTTATAGTGAGTATGTGATTTTTTTTTTTTTTTTTTTTTCCCCAATAATTAAAGGGTAGGTGAATTTGTTGCCAAGGTAAATAAAAAATTAAAAGTAGTTAATTGCAAATGGCATTCACCGAGGTCCATTTGGTTAGAACTAACAGTGAAAACAAAAATACACAAGAAAAAGAAACATTTATAAGCAACTGAAAAAGAAAAACCAACAATTCGAGAACCCAGTTGTCGAAAACAAGAACAGAATACAATGAAACATCCACCAAATAAAATAATCAAACAACCAAACTTCAACAACTCTACGACACCAGATTTAAGATCAATCTGCACGAAATCAACATCTAAACCCCAACTGTTCAACAAAATCTTGCAAGAAAAATAATATTTTCAACGTCCATTTGATTAGTGTGAATTTTATTTATTTATTTATTTTTTTATATATATAAAAAATTATGAGAAATAGCCATTTCATAGATTTTTTTCTTCAGAAATTCAAGCTACCATTTCATAATTCAAAATACATGAAACTCAAAATAAACCAAATTTTGCAAAGATATTAGAAAAAAATAGACAATATTTGCAAGAAAATTTTCAGAATTATTCATATACATATGGAGCACAATATATAAAAAATTTAGCCTTAATAAAGATCGATTTCATGAGAAATCATATTTTCCGTCAAAGTATTTTCATTCTTTTATAGCCTCACCATTTAAAAAAAAAATCAAAATGAATAATTCTGAATTTTTTTTTTACAAATAAGCCAAGTATTTTTTAAAAATATATTAAGATTGTTGTAATAAATTTTTAGATTGTCTATTTCTATCTGGTTATGAAGTTTTGTTAAACAAATCTTATATTTCTGGAATTCTTGTTTTATAAATATATTATTCGCACTATTTGGATGCACTATTTGTGAGATATAAATTTTTGAAGTTCGAAAAAATTAAGATTTAAATAAAAGGACATTGTGGTCCAAATATTAACTCTTTTACCCTCTCAGATAGTTGAGGGGGTTCCTTTATTACAAAAATTAGACAAGGGAGATTTGTTAGAAAAGGCTATAAGTCGAGGGAGGTTCTTTGATAAAAATTTAGACAAGAGGGTTTACTGAAAAAAAGGTTACAAGTCGAGAGGGGATTTTCTGTACTTGTACTACAATGAATTGACATAGTATTTAATCTAAATCTATTATGCCATTTTAATATTATTATTAATTTTATTTTTAATAGTAAAAGCTGATTTTTTTTTTTTTTGAAAGGTAAGCAAAAGGTGAATTTGAAGATGTTAACTTATGATGAATATGTTTAATAATGGTTTCCAGAGTTAAAATTATAAAACTCCCTTTTTACTATTAAAACTATGTATAAAAAGACACATTTGTTTAATAATAGTGATTGATAACTACTACTATTATTATTATTATTATTTATTCATTTATTTATTTCGAGAGTTGAAATCACAAAACTCCCCAAACTAACAAATCTCATTATCCTTCTTTCCAGAGTTAAAATTATAAAACTCCCCAAAAACTATGTATAAAATAAAAGGCTCATTTGTTTAGTGATTGATAACTGTTATTATTATTATTATTTCCTTGGGGAGTTAAAATCACAAAATTCTCCCAACTAACAATTCTAGTTACCCTTAAACTGGGTAATAAAATTACAAAATTAATCTTACTATTTAATATTAAATTAAATACTTATAATTATTATTTTAAAATTACACATTTAACCTTTGTGGGTTCATTGCAATTGAAAGATTCCAGTTGGCAGTGACACCACTCATCGCCTACGGGTGAATGTGTGTATGTGTTATATACACACACAAACACACACATATCATACCATTACAACTCCAATAATTAATTTAAAAGAAACACCTATATCCATAAACAAATGTATAGAGGGGAAGAGAGGTACCAGAATTTTCACAGAATTTTCGTAATATATATATATAAAAGAAACACCCATATCCATAAACACCCATATTACGAAATTCTTTGAAAATTCCCCTGTACATATGTTTATGGATATGAGTGTTTCTTTTAAATTAATTATTATATATATAATAGAAGCATAATGCACTTGAAATAATAACATTACCTTCCCGGCCTCAAATTCAACCTCAACCAAATTTGTACAATCTATAAGATACAATTCCTCCAAAATGGGGCACGCCGGAAAATTAGGATTTACCAAATTTTCGCAGCCGCTGAAATTAAGGACTTTTACCATAAACTGTTAAAAAAATTATAAAAATTAAAATTAGTTAACTTCAATTGTGTGAATAAAATCATTTTTTTCAAAAATCGAGAAAATTTCAACATAAAGGATAACATGCTGAGTAAAATAATCATCTTACTTTTGTATTCATGGAAATTCCTTTGATCAGGCTATTAGGTAAATGGAGCGAAACAGGTTTTTTTGGATGAAAATTGTGTGGCAAATATTCATGGGGATAGCCTTCCCACTCAAGATACCTCAACTCATTTGAAAGATATGTAAGACATCCATCAAGCTGCACGCCATTGATTTTGAGTAGTCTTAGCTTCCTCATCTTTGTGAAGGCATCAGCTCTTACATGCAACTCTCCATTCATGGGCAGCGTAATAGCTTCAATATTTTCTGTCACCTATCAACCAAGACATAAAAACCTAACTAAAATTATATTTACTTCAAAGAAGACTTGGTGGACAATACAATACGTCCAAGAAACTTTCTTTTTTTGCACATCTTGGGCATGGAAAGAAACTAACACATATATATATATATATGTTTAACACATACCGTATTTTGAGTGAGTACTTCATGGATGTCCTCATAAGACCATAATCTGCTGCGCCTTCCGGGATTTTCAGATTCTTGACCAACAATTTCTCGACCCATATCTTGTATCAAGTCATGCATTGACAGCTTGTTGCCTTTTGATATATTAATGAGGCACCTCTCACTAAGTACTTTTAACTCAATCACTGCCGATTCATCCATTTTATAAAATTTCATGACATCTTCCTCATCGAGTCCTTTGAAGAAACAGGCAATATCAAGAAAAATTTTCTTCTCTTCCTTATTAAGGCCTTCGTAACTTATCCTTAAAACATCATGAATTTTTTTGGGAGGGTTGGCCTTCAACCTATTTAATATAGATAACCACTCATCTTTGCTTCTTTTATGTAAATGGGAACCCAAAACTTCGAGAGCAAGTGGAAGGCCATCTGCATAATCCTTCGCACGGTGTGAAAGTTCTTCATAATCATTTTTAGGCTTCTCTTGCTTGAATGCATGCCAACTAAAAAGTTGTAATGCTTCACTGCCATCTAATAACTCCATGTCGTATATCTTAACACTGTACGTATCCAACAATCTTTTATTTCTAGTTGTTATGATGATCCTACTACCACTGCCAAGCCATTCAGGTCCTACTCCAACTAAGTACTTCAATGTATCTTCATCATCTACATCATCAAGTACTAGAAGAAGCCTTTTGTTACGAAGTCTATCCTTTATCTCATTGATTCCCCTATCAGGATGTGATATTGTTATAGTATCATCCATTAGGACCTCTTTGAGAAGATCACTTTGTAATTTAGCTAGACCACCATCCTTTGTTGACTCTTCTCTCACGTTTTTAAGAAAACAACTCCGTTCAAATTTTTGTGATACACAGTTAAAAATAGCTTTGGCAAGGGTTGTTTTGCCTGCTCCTCCAATTCCACAAATTCCAAGAAAGAGTTGATCCTCACCGAGCAACTTGATTATTTTCTCCACACGCTCTTTGATACCCACTTCATAATCAGCAACATGAAATGGTTTAGGCAAAATTTTTGAAATCTCTTGAACAATTATTTTGATAAACTTGCCTTCGTTCCTATGAAGTAGAAATTAAGCACATAAAATCAAAATCTAGAACAGAATATATATATATATATATATATATATATATGTGCTGACATTCATTTGATAGTCTAACAAAAAAATAAGAGTGAGTGAACTTGTTAGTAACAAAAAACAGATTAACACAATTAAATATGAAGTTTGCCACCAAATAATGGCAGTCTAATTTAGTTATGAGACTGTACTGGCACTAGGAATGTTAATATTTTCATTGTTCAAATAAAACAATAATACACTGATATATTCATTGAACTAATAAGCTACTAGTAAACCGATGAAGCAGAACATATATATATATATATATATATATATATATATATATATATATATATATATAGTTATTTACCCATCTGCTGCATCTTGTAAATCCAAGCCGCATAGATTTGCTGCTTCCTTCAAAGCTTTCCTTCGTCTCTCCACCCTTTCCATCTCTCTAGGACGGAATATATATGTAAATGCTTCCGCAAAACTTCTCTTCTGGTTCCGAACTTGCGACGGTTTCACATCGTAGAAGATGGGCAGCACTATCTGTCCCTTGGTCCTCCTGCATTCAAGGATCTCCACCAGTTCATCCAAGCACCATAATGAATTAGTGTAGTTTTTGGAGAAGACGATCACAGCAATTCTTGATTCATTAATATATTTGATGAGCTCTGGAGATATGGATTTTCCTTGCTCAAGCCTTTCGTCATCTTTGAAGGTCCTGATTCCTCTGTCACACAGAGCGGCGTAGAGATGGGCCACAAAGGTTTTGCGAGTGTCTGGGCCTCTAAAACTTAAGAACACATCATATTCAGATCCAGGCACTGATGAAGATGATAAAGAAGAAGCCATAGGATTTTTGCTAAATTGTGTGCCAAATTACTCGGAGCTAGTGATCTAGATAGCAATTAGTATATATATCTAGAGTCTGCATATATTATAGTAGATCTTGTACATATATATAAAAAGAGGAATTTGCTTGTGACTTTCCATCGCCTCCCACATTCCCACTGTACGCGTATACATAAAGATGAGGAATTTGCTTGTGACTTTCCACGCGTATACATAAACAATTTATTTAAGGGAAGATTAATTCATACTCATACTTATTGAAATACGTACTTATTCATAATTATTTTATTGTGTAACATACAAACATGCACAATATGACATAAGATATTTTCTCTATGATTTCTTGACTATTTTAAAGGATAATACTAATTGAGGAATTTTTTTTTTTTTTTTTTTTTTTTTTTTTTTTTTTTTTTTAAATTTGAAATTTGAAACAAACATAGACTATATATCTTTGAGAGTTTTATAGTACAATTTAATAGTATAGAGCCTATGGCTACTATCTTTTTCGCTTTTCGGATGGGGCCAAGTAATAAATTAAGTTTTTTAAAAATTCTACTTTTTTCCCCACTTCTATCTTTTGCTCCCTTGCTTTTTTACTTTCATCCCCACTTCTATCTTTTGCTCCTTGTTTTTATTTAATAATTAAAATTAATAAATAAATACGCGACAATCTATCTTTTCATAGGTGGAGTGCAAGACTCAAGATGATAAGAAAAATACTAATAATTTATAGTTGAGATTAAAAAGGACAAAACATAACTATTTGGTTATTTATTTGTAAGATTATTGTTGATTCTATCAATTAGGACCGTCATTATAGAGATTGAGAAATATAAATAGCTAGGTGATGATTTTTTTTCCTTAAAAATAATACAATTACACGTTTTATTCTTATTGAGACATCAACCCTTCATCTTTGATAATATAAATAGCGGAATTGAAAAGTTTTAACAACATATAAACTAGTAAAGAAAAATTATAAATGTATTGAACGAAATTATTATATATTTAAAATTAACTTAAATATTATTTTTATTAAGAATTTAATTTCATTAGTTTTTAAAGTTGCCCCCACCAAATTAATTTATGACTTTGTCAACGTGATCTTTAGATTCAATAAAATGAAATCGAGCTCAAATTCTAAAGGCAATGAGGTTTTGAGTGTTTAAATTCTCCACATGGACTAAAGGGAAAAGAAAACAAATGTTTAAAGTTTTCATTTCGTAGTTGGCATCTTTTTACCACCATTCATGGTGTTGACTACAATTAATGTTCAAGCAATTTCCTAAGTCTTACCTTGCTAAGAGGTGCGAAGTTGGATGCTTTACTGTTCATCCAATGGTGCTGCTTTTGTTGCTTGGTTGCTTTTGAACGTAGTCTTTGAAAAAAAAAAATTCTTTGAAAAGGTTCGTACGCGTTATTTATTTATTTATTTAATGTAAATAATTTCATACATAACTTCCACAAATTCTCACTATGATAAATAAATTCTAATCTCCCCCTTTAAAACAAGAGATATTATATAATCTAAACCAATGACTTGGTGATATACTACATGTTATAAAGGTTTCATTTAAATTAGTTATTATTATTATTATATAAGCAAGAAACTCATACATTTATTTTGTTTCTATAGAGATTTTAATTCTTTATCTTTTACTTTAAAAGACGAAAAAGCTAGTAGGATGATATTACTGTAAGACCCGTGTAAAATACATATATATATTTATATCATATATTTATTTACTTAATATAATTTAATGGTTATCTTTGATTTAATTTAAACGGGTGATTGTGATAAAGTTTGTTAAATAATTTAAATTTTTTTTTAAAAAAAACTAATTTATCTCACCAGACTCCCTATATTTCTATAACTCTCTAATACGTTTTATTTATATATATATAAAAAAAAGAGATACTAGCACGATAACGGGAGAAGAAGGGACCAGAGAGAGTGATTTGACGTCATGTTTTCCTGCAGTAGCCGGGGGAAAGGAACGGTAATCGGGAAGTTGCGTAGAAAGGAAGAATTATTTATACCAGGCAAGTTAATCTTGCTTTATATTTTTATATATGTTTACGACTTAATTTATAAAATTTCTTAAAGAATTATTCTAAGACTGTTCTAGCGTATTTTAGTCAATTGTTTGATGGAAATCTATGATTATTTGATATATGAACCTGTTTAGTAGATTAATATGTGGTTGTTACTCGCTGTTTGGTATTTAATGAATTGTAATACGGAGTTGTAGGTGTAATCGTGTTGGATCTAATTATAAATACATATGGGTTCCAGTATACATGTTACCACATGCACTCTATTGGGTACTTATTATATTCATTGCCTATAATTCTAGATTTTTTTTCTGATTGAATAAAAGTTAGTTAATATATATGCTTATGTGGGGACATATACAGAATTATGAACTTATTAATAGCATGAACCAATTGTGATTGGATTTTTGGGAAGTAAATGATATAAAAATTTGTATGCTGACTAGTAAATATATAGGTACTTATGTTGGATTTCATGAAAGAATTTGTGTTCCTATATATAGGTGACTACGTGTATCTATTTAGTATAAAATTTGCCTAAATAGTGGGACTGAACTTTAAAGACTTTGCTTAATTAAATTGATTATGCTATTTAATTATTAGGAATAGATTAGACATGTCACTGAACCTTGAATCTTCTATTTAATTAGTTTATAAATAATTGGAAAATTTATACATACATGAAGTACTTGGACTAAATATATTTTTTAAGAAACTCAATATGTCAAATTATGAGTACCTGTAACTGATTAATTGAAGAGGTGGATCTATATATATATGAAATCTATTAGGTTGATCTGTGATATATATATATATATATATATATATATATATATATATATATTTGTTTGTGCAGTTATACAATTGCATAAGGAAGTTTAGATGAATGTTAAACTGAATATGTTTGGTGACTAAGTTTACTGGGACGAAATTTCATAGCCAGAATTGGTATTATTTGTACTTCCAGTTGCATGCCTCATTATTAGTTACAGTACTGGATGAATAAGTGATAGTTAAGGTTTATGGGTATGAGTATGATGATAAAATTTCATATTATATTATTATATCACAATTCACCATAATTAATAATTAATGGATGAGTTTGGATTAGTCGGAGGGGTAGTCAGGGACTGACCCTATGATGACTTTTTGGGTATGGTCAGGGACCTACCTAATTGGGAGTGCACTACCCTTTTGTTATGGCCATGGGTCTAATGAGCCCTTATTGTGTGGACGTGATCAGGGATCATCTGGGAAGTAGACGTACAATCCAGCCACACGTGTGTTTTTGGTAGTCAGGGACTATACGATTCACACCATTTTATTGGACGGGAGCCTGGGGCTCATGTGAGATATGCCGATTTATTAAAAATAAAATAAAAGATGGTTATTTATTAAGTTTATAATTAACTGGGTTATACACATTTGAATAATGAACTTATTTGAGTTGCTTATATATACAGGAATATAAGGTAAGGTTAATTTGCTGAACGATGATTGTGTTTAGCATTTATTGCTGAGCTTGTGAGCTCACCCCATTATCACATTTCAGGTACACGTTGAGTAGGAACGTGATGGGATTACATGATGGTGATGGGTTTTGGCTTGTTTGTCGCATTCTTTGGTTTAGTTCAATTTTCGCATTGTAATAAGAATGATGATATTTTTTTGAGAGTTAGTTCATTTTGTCTAGTTATCATGGATTATTTTTGACAAGGTTGTTTGATATTATGGTTGTATCGATTTAATAAATTAAAGGGTGGTTTTCATCTACTTCTTTATTTAATTATTTCTATTGTAAAGTTGTGGTTGTGTAAGGAAAGTCATGTCAAATTTTAATACGAGATAAAAGTTCATGTATTTGGGATTTTGGGGCGTGACAGTTTGGTATCAGAGCCTAGGTTAAGAATTACCTGGCTAAGAGAAGTGATAGTAAGAATAGGAGCATATACTTATACGAATTATTGCTCTCTTACCATGCTCCAGTTTAAGTATAAATTACTTGTGAGACTTATCATTCACATTCGTTACTGAAAATAGGATGTCAGGAGCTGGAAGAGGCAGAGGACGACCTGCTAGAGGTAGAAGTCAGGGAGGTGCTGGTCGTGGTGGTGTTGACCATGACAATGTTCAGTTGGAGGATGCACCTCATGTGCCAAATCCTATGATTGGATTTATCAGAGATATCCGCAAATTGGGGGCTGTTGAATTTGCTAGAGCAACCGATCCACTTGATGCTGAGAAGTGGATTGAAGATATGGAAAAGTATTTTGAGATGATGGACTGCACTGAGGTGCAGAAAAGGAAGATTGGTGCATTTCTTTTATCTGGTGAGGCGTGCCAGTGGTGGCAGTCAGAGACCAGGATGGTTGTGGACATTACAACTATGACCTGGGATGATTTTAAAACTCAGTTCAATGACAAATACTTTCCACAATCAGTGAAGGAGAAGAAGGCAGTAGAGTTCACGCAGCTGGAACAGAATAATGAGATGTCAGTTAGTGAGTACGAGAGGAAGTTTACAGAGCTATCCCGATTCGCTCCTCACATTGTTGCGAATGAGTTACACAAGGTTAGAAAGTTTGAGCGAGGATTGGTCTCTTATGTGAAGAAGTTTGTGGTGGGTCATCGTTTTGACACTTATGCTAAAGTGGTGGAATGTGCTATGGCAGTAGAGGAGAATAATAACATTGCCTTTCAGAAACAGAAGGAGCGTAGGGCAGAACAGAAAGGTAAGGGGGCTAGCAGCACTCAACAGAATCATAGTAGCTCTCAACAGAATCAGAGGGGTCAGTAGCAGCAGACTCAGAGAAACTGGCAGGGTCAGTCTTGGCAGAGAGGTAGACAAGATTGGCGAGCAGGGAAACGGCAGAGAGTTGGTGAATGTGAGCAATCCACAGCTTTAGTACCAGCCACACCTTATGATACATAGCCATATCAGTTCAGCGGGCATTGCTACAATTGTCGTGAGCAAGGACATTTGGCTCGTAATTGTCCCAAGCCTCACAAGAATAACCAGCAGAAAGGTCAGGCACCACAGCAACAAGGAGGTGCAAGGGTTTATGTAGTTGTTCCAGATGGGAGACAGGATCGTGCACCACCAGCAGTGGAAGGTACACTTACTATTTATGGCAGTATAGCTAGAGTACTA